AGAAAATTGCAATTATTTTTTTTTAAACCATTAAAAATTAAGACGCACAACAATACTTAACTCAAAGTAATATAAAAATCAGAAACACATGAGATGAAAAATTCAGTAAGAAATGGAAGTCTATCCCCAGAATCAAACGGGCCAAACGAATCCCCTAACCACGACTTGATTCTGTGGTACCTAGTGCATCCAGCAAAATATGCGGGTCGAACCACTTTTAGCGCTGATAAACAAGTGTCGGAAGTAGGAAGCATTAACAGATTTGCTGTCAGATGGTTTCTGTTGACAAGGAGCTGTCACTCGGGTCATTCCCGAGTGCATCAGCCTGCCACGCAGAGCAGAACATCCGGAGAGGTCTTGTCTTTACGGTAAAACATATCACAGTTAAGGGAAAAAGGAAGAGCAATAAAGGTTGGAACTGACAAATGGCATTCGGCAACCCTATAAATCCGATTTATTTTCGCGCACTGGATAAGCAGATGGAAGGTTTCGGAAGACCACAGTAGAGATATCTCCGACAGACAGAAGCACCGATATCTTTAAGATACATCCACAATAGCAGTTGATTAGACGCTCGTACCTTAAAATGTTTGTCTACCGTCTACGTCTTCCGTTTAGGCCACACATATTTGCATTTCCTTAGAAGTTGAGACCATGCAAAACGAATAAATTACTAAAAAAAAATTACAAAGCGACCAAAAAATTACCTAAATCACGGAAAAGGAGAAGTGATAAAATGAAATGTTTGAGAACACTATACTAAAAACGATACACATTAAGAGCTAAAAGAATTTTAAGCAAACTTCATAGCATAAAATGCCTGTGCACCACTTGTTCTGCATGAAAACTGCAATGTCTGTAATAGAGATTGTTCATGATATAGTATAAAATTGCATTAAGAAAAAAAACTGGGTGGACAAGAATGTTTTGGCCCACCCAGTGGAAGACATGAACAGGGATTTTTAGGGAATCTATTCATCACCACAACTGAATATCAATAAGAAATTTTCGAAATCGCAAACTGACATGAATATATGGAAAGAAAAAGAAGAATGTTCAGCGAAATGATTCAAACAAGGACGGATAAAACATAGCCATGAATGATACTATATGATTCTTACAGCCAAAAATAAAATTGTGACTGAGCGCATAAACATCAAATGTACATTTTTCTGAGCAACCAATAGCAAATTAACAGAGCTCCATAG